AGAGTAGGCTCATGAGGGGAGGGTAGCATTGTTTTTGATTTCCCAGGTAGTAACGCAGACCCCGCATCTTAGGTAAGTGCACTCATCAGTGGGTAGTAGAGAGGAAGGAAAAGAAAGCAGGCAAAGGTTTGTGGGACAGCAGTGCTCCACAGCACTTCAGCCCCTCCATGGAGGTACTGAAGAAGTGAGGTCATCAGCCTTTAGATTTCGTCACCCCCAGTAAGCATAAAACAAGTCTTAGATCCAGTTCAACTTTGCAGCTCCTCTATCAGCAGGAACAGCTGAAGGAGTTAACTGAGTACAGTGTCCAGTTCTGGTCACCACAGTTCAAAAAAGATGCAGGCAAGCTGGAGAGAAGGTCCAAAGGGAGGCCACAACGATGATCAAAGGACTGGAGAACCTGCCTTATGAGGACAGACTGAAGGAATTATGTCTGCTCTCCCTGGAGCAGAGAAGGCTCAGGAAGAACTCATTAACGTATTCCAGTACTTAAAGGGCAGCTGCAAAGAAGAGGGAGGCTCTCTCTCCACAAGGAGTCTCATGGAAAAGACAAGGTGCAACAGGCACAAGTTGCACAGGGAGAGGTTTCATCTCGACATAAGAAACAATCCATCACTGGAACAAAATCCCATGGATGACTCCCTGTGACTGGAATTTTTCAAGATGCAATTGGACATGGGGGTAGATGATCTCATCTAGACTTCCTTTCCTATGGAAGGTTGGACCAGATGATCTTCTGAGGTCTCTTCCAACATGGGCTGTTCTGCGGTTCTATGAGTTTGATGAACAGGGAGTCTCTAAGCAGGCTTTGCTCCCGAGGAAAATGAGTGTGAAACAATACCTCTAAATATATCTGGCCTTCTGTGTTTCTTGGCTTGACAGTTGGCTTGAGAGCATTGCAAATAGATAAAAGTGGTCTCTTCTTTAATCTGTCTTCATTGATCCTACAGCTTAGAGAATCAGGTACTTGAGGGTACTTTATGAATGGAAAAGTCTCTTTATTTTCAAGAACCCACAATACGAACAGTATAAACAGAAAGTTAGCTTGGAGTTTTCTGTGGGACAATTGAAGTAATGAAAAACCAATAAAAGCAAATTTTTTAAATTCCATATTTTGACTTTAAAGAGCTTCTCTGACTAATTGCAGTCTTCTGGACTTTTACAAATAAGTTTCATTGTGTTACAAGCTGTTGCAATATGTGGTCTTCTCAAGCCTGGATGCTCTTTCTCATCACAGCACCAACAAAACAAAACAAAAAAAGGACTTGTTTTCCTGTGCCAAACACCATGTTCCTTCTATCAAAACAGCTAACAACTTTCCTCTGGGATTCATATATAAATTTACTTCCAATTTGAAATATCTTCCTTTCAGAGGAAGATTGTCTCCTACCCTATGATTTATGCAAAACAGCATTGTGCTTTGAGACAAGGGAGTCACCAACAGCAAATGTCCATTAGTAGAAACAGTTTGCCAGCAAGGTTTCCTCTTCTTAGCTAGGACCCCACACTTTGAGCCTCTCATGCCTCTTTCCAGGTATGTGTGTTGAAGTAGCCCAAGTGTTCCTCTGCAGGATTATTCTCATTTGTTTTCTGAAAATAGTCTGTTTTCTGCAGATTGCTATACATTGAAAAAAAAATATCTCTATCAGCCCTCTTCTCGTCGTTTCAGTGGAAAATTAGTCATTTGGAGGAAACATGAAATCAAGGAGATAGACAGGCGTGCTGTTTCAGCTCCTTGCCTCTACATTATCCTGAGGAGTTTTGGAGAGATTAATTGGAGTTCATAAACCCCGAGGCTGATGGAAGGTTAGGGTGTTGCCTGGGTCTCTCTCTCGTGTAGGTCAGCTGCACTTCAGAATCTCCCTATGATGGGAGATTCAAAATTGATCTGATCAAATAAAAGTAAATTTGCCTCCAGTTTATTATTAGCATGACATTCCCTTTTTGGTCCAATGCTTCCTAGCAACCTGAGTGCCTGTCAGTCAGTTTGCTTCTCATAGGTCTGCGGAAACAGAGTACTTGGTGAATTAACCAATATCCTTGAAAAGATAATGATAGGAGAAATGGCCAAGCCCATGAAAGGCAGAAGGCACTTTGCCATATTAATGTGATCCAAATCCAGAGTTCCAGGAGAGTGTGGGGTAACCAAGAAAGGGTACATGAGAGGGGAACTGACTGGGATGGTGCCACCCAGCCTGTATCTGGCCTTGGTACCCTCCTCTTGGGCTGCAGCAAGGGGTGTTCAGTGCTGACAGTCCTATCACCTGTCCCCTTGGAGCTAAGTGTGTCACTGCTTCTCTTTAAAAATGAAGCAAGGAAAAGTGTTTTCCTTCAAAGCTCTGAACTGATTTTGGGCACCTTTCTTCCTTCTTGGGATGTCAGTTCTTTCATTCAGCATCATCCACTCTCCTGGCTTGGCTCCTTTGGTTCTTGGGGGACTCAAACCTGCAGCTTCCAGAAGCCTTTCTTAGCTAGCAAGTTATAAGCTGTTTCAGGGACTCTTATTCCCTCCTGATGAAGTTGCTCCATTTTAATTGTGAGTGATGACAGACTAAGGAGGCCTGAAGGAAAGTACGCATGTCAGTGCACAACTGAGCAAGGGCTGGGGCACAACTGGGCAGAGCAGCTGCCTCTGCCAGCTATTTCTGTATCAAATAACCATTGCAGGGACTGGAGACCAACTCTTTGCTTTCCCTATTCATAGTGCTACATCACCAAGCCTGAGTTGTCTCTGTCTGCTCTGCCCAGCCCTGTCAGTGTTTAATTATGCCATCCGGGGCCCAACAGCTTCAATGGGAGAGAATGAACTCATCCCCCTCCCCTCCTAAAAAGCCTAAGGTCTGAGGTGTGCCTGTCCCTGAGGAATGGGGTGTGTGAGGCTTGAAGCTTTGTGTGCTCAGAATCAAAACAAAATGGGGTTTCAATATGATTGGCTGTGGCCCTTGTGCATAGGGCAGAAGGGGGCTGGCCCCTCATCCTGCTGTTTTCAGTGCTTCCTTCGCACAGTGCTCTTCCTGAGCATGCCTGTGGCACAGGGCCTCCACTGCGAGGCCCAGAGTGGGATACCAAATTCATTCACTGGGACAGGAGGCAAGTATGGCCTCAAAACTGTCCCTTCCTAAGGACTTAAGACAACACATCATAAAATCTGGACATTCAGAAATGCCCCCATACTCCCATGCTGTCCTACTAGACTTTTTAAGAGCTTTTTCTTCAATTTAGAAGCATTGGCCTCATGATGTTGAAGACATTAACACATCTCTTATTTTTACAGGGATAGAAAAAATTGTACATTCTCAAACCTGGCTAAAACTTTCATAAAATGACATTTTTCACGTACTAAGAGTGGCATAGTCTCAGGATGTGATGTACTGACATGTACATACTCTTCTGACTTTCTTTGAGACTAGCTCACATAATTCACTTAGTTGTGATATCTGTGAGTGATGTACCTTTCCCATTTTCATTCTGGAATAACACAAATAACACTCCAATCTGTATTTTGTACTTTACAGACATGTGTATAGCTTTTACTTAAGGTTACAAAATGTTATATTTTGTAATATACACTAGCCCTGTGTAATTGGGCTAGTTCTCAATTGGGTGGCATAACCTTTGCCTCAAGTTCATTTTTTGTTTTATTGTCATGTTAGACTACTTTATTTTAAAGGAAAAAAAAAGAATTAAAGGGTCTTTGCCATTTCCTGAAATTATTTTCTTGCTCATTTTAAAAGCAGGTGGTTTTATAGAGCTGTGATGCCTCTGTGGTACTGGGTAAAGATTTCAGATTTCCTACAGGGATAATATTGAGTGCTATTATGAACACTGTGAAAAAGCCTGGAGCATTGGTTAGTTCATGAATCTTAAACAGTCATTGCTTACATAGGGGTAGGATTTGTAAAGGATTTTTTCTTAAAATGTCTGAACCTTTCCTTAGTCCTTAATTTACTTCCCAAGCTCGCGCACATTGTCAGAAAGGCAGGTGAGAGAAAAACTGATGCCCATACTGTTCTGTTTCCCCATCCATTTGAGCTTGTGGGAAAGATGCTCTCCAGGGAAATCTAGGAGCTCCCTTATGCCCACCAACAGCTTGTAGGTTTTACAGCCCTTACCTGGACCTTGGCCTTATAAACACACCTTGAAAGACAAGCAGGTGCCCTGCCCCCATTTTACAGATGGTTTAACAGATGTTGGAAAGTATCATTAGAAAAAGAGCTTGGGATTAAGTGTATGTCCACAGCATAGTCCTAAAAACCAGGTGGCCTTGCAGAACAGTCTCATCATGCCCAGATATCTGCTCCTGCTGCTTGAAACTGGAGGCTCCCACCTGGGGCAGGGAGCAGGGAGCAGGAGCTGGGACCTTCGCTCCCCTTTGCCACAGGTGCACTCTGGCTCCCAGCCCTGCCTCCAGGGTCAGCAGCCCTCCTCCTCTGCCAGGAGGGTTCGCTCAGCCTTTCCATGTCTGATGCCAGTTGTGCTGGTTAGCCAGGGTCTGCAACATTTCTAGGGTTTTTTTTAAAGAAACGAAAGCTGCAAAAATTTTATTTCAAAATTTACTTGAAGAGAGTATTTAGTCACAGATTCAGGTAGGAGTGTCTCGGAAGTACTTGATTTAAAGCTGTCACACAAATATTAGCTCACTTGTGCTGCTTCTTCTACTTATTTCCTTATCCTGCTCATGGAACAGCATGGGCAACAAATAAGATGAAATAATGGTGTTCCCTGGCTATAGTTGCAACCCAGATAAAAATTCATGTCGTTGAAATGTAATGGTAGGCAGGAATAGAATATTTAATACCTTTAAGGACAACATTTGTATTGCACAGATCATGTTTATTCTGATAACTCCCAAAGTTTTTATATTTGCATTGGTAGCCCGACACTTTTCTAATTTATTTTATTTTTGTGTATGCAGCCTGTACGTATGAAATGCCCCTATTTTCCCTGTTTTCCCTGTTGGTTAATAGGTTGGCTTATGCTAGTGATTTGCAATATTACAGGCAAGAGAGGATGTGATCCACATGCTGAAGACAGAGAAAACCAAACCTGAAGTTTTAGAAGCTCATTATGGGTCTGCAGCTCCAGAGAATGTGCTCCGAGTGCTACACAGGGATGCCATCCTTGCCCAAGAAAAGTCTATAGGGGAAGATGTCTATGAAAAACCAATTTCAGAGGTAACTGATTTACAACATTATGTCTGTGCAGGGGGAATCCTAACTAGAAGTGAGACTCCGCATATTTTGAACGTGTGCAAAGCACTCAAGAAGATAAAACAGAATTTGTACAATGACAAGAAATCAAAGAAAGTCTTGTTCACTCAAATGCAGAATAATTTGTAAGTGAAGTCATTGGATTTGAACACAAACCATAAAGAGGTTGCATGATTCTTAGGGCTGGTGCTGTTAAGCAAGACCAAAATCTTAAGGTGTTACCTTCTGGTTTTTAAATTCCTTTCAATTATAGGCTTCAACCTCTATTGCTCACAGCACTCGTACGAACTCTTTGATTTTCTTGGCATACAAGACCACTCTATCATGTGGGTAGTTAAGAAAAGAAGACCTTTGGAGATTGATGATATTTATGGGATCATAAATCTGTATTCACTTTACATCACTTAAGCTCTAGAACTCCAAAGTCAGTTCAGCCCCTAAAAGAGACTTATAGGACTTGATCTCTTGCTTTAAAATATAAGCAATAAGTGAATGTGGAATAGACCTGGGAATGTCTAAGGCCAGTGTGAACGCCAAAATAAATAGCCACTGCTCATGTTTATGGTTTCATAACAGTCCAGGGCATGGAGAAAGAGCATGCAACAACATACTGTAGTGGTTGCCCAAATCTTCACAGTTCCTCCTATTAGAACATTTAATTTGTTTACCAGGAATTGTGTCTACCATGAGATATCTTTATACTGTTTATTCTCATTGAAGCGTCTCCTGGAATCTTGGGGATGTCAGTAAATAAGGAAAACAAACCAACCTTAGCATGTGGGAGCATGCAAAAAATACTGTCAAACAAGATTAGAAGGGCTTAGCAAGGCCTTTTTCTAAAGAAGCTGGTAATTTGACAGGGACCTCAGTGAAAAAAGTAAAACTTTGTCACGTGTAGGTTCACAAGGGTTATGTTGAAACTAAAACAAATGGTGACAAAATTAAGTGCAAAAGATCTACTCTCAAAAGATCAGCCAAACCTGTCTCCTCTATAAAATGCAATGACTGTTTGACTGCTATGGTCAGTTTCTGGAGATCAAATTGCCAAAGTCCTCCAGCTTTCCTACTTCCCTTAGTTTGCTGAGGTGCCCTGTGAAACAACTGCCCAGTGCAGCTGGGGCCAAGGAAGATGGTAAGGGCTGGGGGTGCGCAGAGCAGGCTCAGCCAGACACTCTGCCAGGGACAGGGAAGCGGAGAAGTACCAGGGCTGTGGGCTGCTTTGGCAAGGAGGAGGATGGAGATTTTTATCTGCACCCAAGAACCAGCAAAAGGAGCAACATGAATAGCCATGGTGTGTTTGGAGTGCCCTAGCATCTTTTTAGGCACACCTTCCTGGTCTTAGTGTTTGTTTGAATAACTGGCAAATTAAATTAATAAAAAAAATTACAGAAGGCAAAAAAGGTAAAGTGTTGCAAATAAAGAAAGATAATTTCTGTCAAAAAACAGGCTGAGGGGAAAACCCTAAGGCTTATAACGAAATGTATTTGGTAATGTAAAACTGAATCTGTACTGAATCTAAATAGATTATCTCAGCAGTTGTACAGGTGTGTTGAAGATGCATAACTCAAATTTCAGCCTTGAGATTACACTTTACGCTCCACATGTAGGTGTCAAGTCCCCATATAAGTGTGTGAACTCAGGCTCCCAGGGTCAGAGGTCTCAGCTACAGCTTTTCCTGTGTAAAACGAAAAAAGTGTGCACAGCACCTCACCACAGGGGACATTCTGCACTGCAACAAATTTGTTACCCTAAAACTAAGTGAAGTTCTGCCCTTCGTGCATGTGAAAACTATGCAAATGTTTATTGCTAATATGTCATCCAGATAAATCATTACTTTCACAGGACAGTTATTCTTATTTCTAGTTACTGCTTTACATATAGCCCAAGATGTAAAACTGTGGGACTCACATTTACCAAACAGAACACTGTTGGTTAATAAATCAGATGAAGTAATCAAGGAGACCTTTAAAACAGTCTGTTCTCATCTCCTACAATCCAGCTAGACAGACTTGAAGAAAAGCAGAAAGAGACGTATCGGCGCATGCTGGAACAGCTCCTGTTGGCAGAAAAGTGCCATCGTCGCACAGTTTATGAGCTAGAAAATGAGAAACATAAACATACAGATTACATGAACAAGAGTGATGACTTTACTAATCTCCTGGAACAGGAGCGGGAGAGGTGAGTACCTGAGACAGTGCAAAGACTATACCCAGTGTCCCAGTGTTTGTCAGCTCAGCAGTGATTTGTTCTGGTATCTTCTGCGTTCAAATGACACTAAACTCACGTGTAAACCATTTGAAAATGTCAGTCCACTCGTGTTATTAGTAAGTACATTACTGTGCAAGTCTAGAGCTGGAGGAATACCATTGAATGTTCCTGTAGTGTGCACTTGAATTAAGAAATGGATTTGTTTTGAATTAGTCATGCCCGTTTTGGGTTCACCTCCAGGTAGCTTTTGATCAGATGTTATTTATGTTGGCTAAGTTTGGGACTGGCTTGCTTAGCTAAGTGCTACATTTCATGAAGGCCAGAGCACTGTTGTCACAGCAGGAGCACAGGGTAAGGAAAACCACAACACATATTAGGATACTAGCACACAAATGGTGGGACTTTGCCATGCCCTTCACATTTAGGCTTGAAAAGTCACAAACCATTTGCATTCTTTTTAATATCTTTGAAGACACATGCCTCAGGCAAGTTCTCTGTTCCCGTGGAAGAAAATGTTTTCATGTTTTACAAAACGTGCCTAGCCTGTGGTATCTGCAGTGTTTATCTCACAGTCTATACGCGCAAGATTGTTTTTTCCAAGTGTTTATCCTGCTTGAGGGAAGAGTCTGTGTCTCTAAGAAAAGAAAGATAACTACCTTAGGTGAAGATTGAGCACTCAGTTTTTCAATGTGAAATTTCCATACTCATATCAAATTGCTTGAAATCAATACATGATGTTGTGTTTCTTTTTTAAAAAAAAAAAAAACAAGCTCTGAGAAAAACACTTAAGGCAAGTTCAAAGAAGAAATGCTGTTGAGGAAACCACAGGCTTGTGGCAGACATTTGCAAAAAGCTAGGAGTGAAATTGTTTGGTGTATTTCTTGAGCTCAGTTCAGCGCCAGCTTTGAGTAGGTGGCACATGAGCTACAGTGACCATATTTCTTGGTTTAATAGCTGTTATTTTTCTGTCTCTATTTTCCTGCGTTGATTGGCAAACGTTAAAGGAAAAAAATGCTTCTGTATCCTAGCAATTTGATTCTCATAGTAGAAAATAAAAAATGTGTTGTATTTCCAAGTAAAGAACAATTTCACATCTGATTCTCATAGCTGCCTTTTTCTCTCTATGCTGAATATCCACGTATGTGTGGACATGCAGCCACTAAAATGCTACCAAAGTAAAAGTGGTATTAAAATACCATTTACATTTGTCTTTACATTTTATATTCACATTAATTTGACAGTTGTTGTCCTCTTATTATTCCCTCTCCATTTGTGAAGGCCACTAAATAGTCTAAGATTACGACGTGGTTTGAACTGACTTCCTTCAATGAAGTGATTACAAGGATTTTTGCCTCACATTACTACTGCTATCAAGATATCAAGTCTCATCTCTGTGGGCTTTTTCTCTTACCCTTTCTGCTCATTCAAACTTCAGGTTTTCTACATTTTATCATTTTCGAAAAAACAGCAAGAAAAAAAGGAGAATTTGAGCTTGAATTTCTCCTGAAAGCAGATCTTTAAGAGCAACTAAGCTCACTGACTTCAGTCACCAATGCCTCTGTACTGGTGGCTGCAGGGGAATAATTGCAGTGCTAAAGCCCTGTTGATTTATGTTAAGTAAACCAGAAACCTAATGTCTGCTATTTAATCCACTTTGTTTGTCTATGGCACTAGTGAGAAAATTCGCTTCAAGTCAGCAGCCACCAAGCACAGAGGATATGGCATTTAGCTAAACACAGACAACCAAGATGCACCTCCCTCCCTCTTCTGGAAGTCCTCCTCCCAGATCACTCACAGAGCAGATTAGCAAAATCAGGATGGGCTGTAAACCACTTATTAGCATATAGTCTTAAACGATCCCAACTCCTCACCTTTGCTTGCTGAGTGCACATGAAACTGAGCCTGCACCCACATCTTTGTAAGTATTAAAAACTAGAAGTAGTATTTTTTGAGGGCTATATTCACAAAGAAAGAGCGAGCAATGGAGTGACTTCTTAAGAAAGCCCCAAAGTGACAAAAGATTTTGTCAAAAAGAAAGAGTTTGAAGTGTAAAGATTAAGTTGCAGTAGGATAAAATATACAAAAAACTCATACTCCCCTAATCTGCATATTGGGACAGAGAACTGACCTGCTCAAAGGCATTTTTCAAGGTCCTGCACAGGCATTCTAGTTTTATAAGTACAACTATGTATATAATTCACTTTACTGTGGTGCTTTGAGGGTTATTTTATTAAGAACTGAACAGACTTGTAGTCTCCATGAAAATGAAAAGGGACACAGAGGTGAACTTTGCCCGTCAGCCACTCTGCTGCACTCACAGTTATAATGTTAATGAGACAGGGTGAGCCAGAAGAAGAACAGTGCTGTGGGATGGCCATCTCATAGCAGTCTGCTACAATGAGAGCAGTAATAATTCCTGTCCTGGATCTAAGTAATTTCAGTGATTTCTTTCCTCACAGTATTTTATCAACCTTTCCTAACCATTGTCCTCATCAGCTTTTGCAGCCCACATCTGCTTTTGCTGTCTTGTGAAAGTTTGAACAAAGGAAAAAGGGGAATTCTCTAAGAGCAGAAATATGCCTCAGTTCTAATGTATGTCTAGCACACTCTTAATGTATTTACTTTGGAATATTTTTTTACATACACTTTCATACATTATCTCCAATCCACCTACAACAACATGATATGAAAGCAAACCATTCCTACGAAGGGACTAATTGTTAGGTCAGCCTCACACAGGAAGGAAGTAACACGAAAACATGATTTGTCAAGAATAATTATGCATGAAAAGTATAAGAAAGTGGGCATTGTACATTGGGATATTCAAAATGTAGACAGCTGGGAGGGTAAAGGGAGAAAGCTGAAGGGCCTCGCTGTTGGTATTGGCTCTGCAAAACCAAGTGCAACTGACCTGAAGAAAGATTGTGGAAAAAGTTGGCATGTTACAGGAAAAGAGTAGTGACAACCCTTTGCCAGACAGAGATGAAAGAAATCTGGTACTTTTAGTGGAAGGTGCTTCTGCAGACATGGTGGCTGAAGTGTTTTGCAAATTTCCCTATAGTATGCTATAATAATAACTAATGATGTTTGAAAGTTACAGACAGTATTTTCTATTTTTCTATGCGACTAAATTTCCCTTTTCAATGCTTGCCCACCTCAGCTGCTGTTTCTGTAACATCCAGTTGTCCTTGGTCATCTCCTATCCCCAGGATTGCAAAAGCAGACATCTTAAAGCAGACATCTTCCTGGAGCCTCCTGAGGAGGCTGAAAAATACAGAGAAGAGCTGGAGGCCCCTGGGCCCTCTCAGAGACCTTGGGTGGCAGATGGTGGGGTAAGGAGTCTCTGGTCTGACAGATGGAGAATGAGGGGTCTGGTCAGAACTGCACTGACAATGTGGCTTGCAGTGGACACCCGGAGAGCAGAAGAGTAGGCAGCAGCAGCAGCCTTAGGGATAAAATTAGTCTTCCTAGTGCAGAGAGCTGGTGGTCTGAGTTTGGGCTGAGCTGACTGCAGCTAAACCAGCTATTGGTACTTCCCCACTCCAAAAATTCAGGTGTAAAGCAGGCTTAGCATGGAATGGTACTTGATTGTTCTCTCTTCTGCCCAGTCCCAGCCCTCTTGCCTTCCCCTTTAGGGAACTGGGATGGGTGGGGGGAATCTTTAGGATCAATTATAAACTTTTTCATTTGATCAGCAGGGCTTTTTGTTCTGGTGGAAAAGGGTAGAGTTCTGTGTAACCTTAACACTTTGACCTAGGAGATGAGCTTTAAAATGCTGACATTTTTAGAGGTGCTAATCTCTGAACAATTTGTCTTGTACCCTCCTTTTAATCCCGTTTGTTGACAGCACATTTTGCTGCTATTAAAAGCACTGGAAAGCTCCCATTGATTTTAATGGTTCAGAAACAGGCTTGCTGTGATGACCACTGCCATCCAGGACTGATTGAAGAAATAGCCTGAAAGACTTCAAAAATGAGGCAAAAGGGGAGTAGGAAGTTTCTTTTATAAGCACGGGAAGTGGGTTGCAGAATAGAGGGTGTGATATGGCAAAAAGGCTTTGTTGAAGCTCAGTTATGGGGGATCTGTGTGACTGCTTGGTGAGTAGTTTGATCATTTCCACCAAGACCCGTGAGACTGCTGAGACTCTGTCACCCCACCACGCAAGGTGTCAGTAAATATACACCCAGTGTCTAAGTGTTGTCTGTCCTAAAGCACTGATATTATGCTTAGCCATGTTTCATTGTAAGATTTAATTGAAGTGATGAGGATTTTAAATTGGTTCTTGCTTTCCATGCTGCTTCAAATTATTCTTTACAACCACAGCGACAGTGTTCCCAGTGCACTGAAGCATTTCATGTTTTCCTCAAGGCAAGGCTGAGGATTCAGTCTGTAGTTCCTAAGCATTGCCCTGCTAAATCTGGTTTTAGTTAAACCTTCTTTTTGAAGTACATGGCCATAATTAGATCTGCTTAGAGGAGACAGCAAGACTGTGACCCCAGATCTTTTCTCCCAAAAGTTTCCTGTCAGTCTTCACGTAAAATTGTCTCCTCTTTGCCTCCCCCATTGCAGCACCCCCAGCAAGGAATGCACTGGCAAGTCCCTCAGAGGTCTGTGATAATACATTCCTCTTGGCTTCGGTCATCCTGGCACAAAGATGCTCTTGGCTGCTCTGCTGCTGATGTAATTCTAGGCCTGGATCACCTGCAAAGGAAACTGATCTGTGAGGAATAAAGCATATAGCCATCTTGAAATAAAAATGAGAGTGTTGATGTTAACAAGTTTTTAAAACACTTTTTTCTTTTTATGTCTTTCTGCTTTTATTAACAAACTTCCCCTTCTTCCTTTTCCCACAAGACGGCAGCACCAAGTCTTTCATTGGGAAGTGCTTGCCTTCTTGTTTCCCTCTATATCATGGACCTAAGCAACTGCAAAAGCTGGAGTGTAATACAGCCTGGAGATTTTGTGTGTGT